GCCGCCCTCGCCTCGCAGCGCGGGCCCGAAGCACTCGGGCTTGCGGATCAGCAGCCGCACCACCACGTTGGCGTTCTCCTCCACGCTCTCGCCTGCCGCCCGCGGGGTGGGGGAGCTCAGGAGAGCAGCCCAAGGGCCCTCCCCGCGGCCTAGGACCTCCAGGACCCTGCCCCGTGACCTTGTGGAGCGAGGCCGGCTCAGGCCAGGCCCATGACTCCATACGCATGCACCCTCCCGTGCACGGCCCTCTCCCCAGCACGTCCGCGCGCACACACTACCCCTCCTGGCTCACCATTGACGAAGACGGCAAAGCGCAGGAAATCCAAATATCGCTCGCCCCCGCAGGGGTTCCAGCCAATGTCGGGGTACCCTTTGGCCAGGAGCATGGAGCAGCTTTGGACGCCACAGCCTGCTAGGTAGGATACCACCTGGGGACAGGCAGGGGGCTCATCCAGAGGCCAGACCCACAGCAACCTTCTCCCCAAGGCTCAGGGGCACCTCATCCAAGAAAACCCAAACCCACTGCTGTGGGTGACTCATAGCGACCCTACAGGACAGCGTAGAACTGCCCCTGTGTTCCTCTCTGACTGCCATTCTTGATTGGGACAGAAAACCTCATCTTGTTCACAGAGGGAGGCTGGTGGGTTCAAACTGCTGGCCTTGTTTGTGGTTTGCAACGCCCTGTGTAGCTCACCAGGGCTCCTCCAAGAGCCCCCTCGGTTCCACTCATGCCTGGGCCCCTTGGCAACATGAACCGAGGTCCTGTCCACCTGGTCTCCTGCCAGATCCGTCAAAAAGCCTCTTGTTCTCAGCACAGGTCCGTGGTGTGTTCCCCACACAGCCACGGGAGCCAGTGAACCTCTGAGTCAGACCACTCCTCTGCTTGAGACCCTCCCCGTGGCTCCATCTCATTCAGGAGGAAGACAGGCTTCCCTGGACCCAAAGACACCACACAGCCTGCCTTCACCCCCTCCCTGCCCTCGCCTCCCACCAAGCTCTCCCGGACATGCTCTGTTCCACCCACACTGGTCTCTGCTGGTCCTCAAATGCCCCACGTTCATTCCTGCTGCAGGGCCTTTGCACTGGCTGTGGTCGCTGCCTGGACTGCTCTTACCCCTGATTCCCACAGGGTCCCCTGTACCTCCTCCAGAGCTCGACTACAATGCCCCTTTCCTAGCAAGCCTTTCTCTGACTCCTTTTGTCTAAATGTGCACACCTTCCTGACACTTGATGATTCCTTCGTCAACAACCCATGCCCTGTGTGGTTTACTTATTCGTCTTGTTCCTTGGCCGTCTTCCAAACTAGAGCATCAGCTTCTCAAGGACAGAGAGTTGAACGGTGTTGATCTCTGTCGCATCCCTATTGCCTCAAAATCCCAACATGCAATGATACCACCACTGAGACATTTCTCACTCACAGCGCCCTGGGGCTCTCTGAGCCAGTACCGTTTCACAGGAGCACACCAGCCTCATCTTTCTCCCTTGGAGGGGCTGATGTTTTTGAACTACAAACCTTGCGGTTAGCAGCCCCGGGTTTACCCCACCGCCCCACCAGGACTCCTTAGCACATAATAGTTAGCCCATGAATATGTGCCAAACAAAGACTAGCACCCTAACAGCAAACCGTTCTTGAGCGCTATTTTCAATACTTCCAGGATGGACTCCCTGCATCCTAAGAACCAACCTATGAGGTGGATTCTATGATTGTGCTCATTCTACTTGGGAGAAAACAAGGAGGAAGGGGTGTGGCGAATACATAGCCGCTTGCCCAAGATCACACAGCCAGGAAAGCGAACCCGGCTCTCCTTGCTCCAGAGCCCACAGCCTTCGTGGCAAACACAGAAGGAAGGGGCGCAGAGACCCCAGACACATTCCAAGGCCACACAGCATGGAGTGGGAGAGTATGGTGCCTCACAAAGGAGCAACTGGGTCCTGTCCTCTCCCTCCAAATGCCTGGCCTTCTGATTCAGCCCACATCACCCACAATTGCCACCTGACTAATGGGCCCAGAGCCAGCAGGTGCCCCTCAGGGCAGGGTGAGAGCCCGCCTCCTCCTCCCTGGATCACAGGGCCACCCTCCACACCTTTTCCAGGTCCTGCTCCTGCAAGGCCAAGGCCAGCTCGTTGTTGTCGATGACAGAGGCAGCTGCCACGTCCAGGGGCGTGGACCCCTGCATGCCTGTGAGGGTGCGAAGGGGTGAGAATGATCAGGACCTGTCCTGCTCCTGCTTGTCTCGCCTCCCCCAGGAAGTCCTTCCGGACCACCTCCTTTGCCAGGCTGGGTTGGATGCTTTCTCTGTTCTGTGCTTCCCATATTCCAACCCTGACCGCCCTGGGCTGTTGCTGGCTGGGAGGGGCCTGGCTTTCCCATTGCACTGTGAACACCTCGAGGGCCAGGCCAGACCAGTCTGGGTGACCCTTGCCTCCCCAGCACTGTCTGCTGCAGTCAGGGGAGGAGGGGGCAGAGCCGGGTGGGCTCGGCAGGGTGAGCCCTGGCTGAGGGCCCTTACCCAGGCCGATGCCACTGTTCTCCAGCAGGTAGCTCAGGTGGTCAAACATGGAGCGCTGGTTCTGCCGGCTGATGCGGCAGAAGTAGCAAAGGAAGCGGCAGCAACTTGTCACCATCTTCGGGAAGCGGATCTCCTGGGGGCAGGCAGAAGGGGGGGGGGGCGGCTCAGAGCCTGCCCTCCCTGGCCCTGTGTCCTGAGCTCCTGGCCCGCTGACCCCCAGGACGTACCTTGGACTCGCCTCCCCCAAGGACATTGACCATAACCTCCATGACCGTTTCGTGCATGCCCAGAGCCCGCATCAGGTTCGGGTGCTGGTAGAAGACTTTGTTGTTCATGATGTTTCTGTGGACAGGTAGCATGCCCAGGGTCACCAGGGGTCAAGTGAGATCCACTTGCAGGGATGACCTCCCACCTTGGGAAAGCCATCGCCGCCACCGTGCTTGCTCTGCGTCTGGCCCTGCCCTGCTCGGCACAGCTCCACTCCTTTCAAGCATTACATCTACTTAGGGAAGTGGGCGCTGGTATCAGGCCCTGGGCTGCTGAGGGCAGCGGTCTCAGTCATGGTGACCATTGTGTTTTCCAGGGCCGGAAACAGGCCCTGGCACACAGCAGGTACTCAATAAGTGTTTGCTGAGGGCATGGGTTGGCTCCGGTGATGACCGACGACTGCCATCAGGTCTGTTGGGCAGCCTCGCTACAAGGCAGCGGGAGAGGTGGGCCCTTCTCCATGCGACAAACAAATGGAAGCTCATAAAGAGTATGCCAGCGGGGACGCCCACCAGCATCCTTTGCAGCCCCAAGTTCACAGTAGCCCAAAGGAGAGGCAACCCGGGTGTACATCAACGGATGAATGGAGAAGGAAAATAGGGTTCATCCCTCCACGGAGCATCGCTCAACCCGAAGGCAGAGGGAGCTCTGAGGCATCCCATCCTGAATCAGTCCATCGCAAATGGACACCGATCATCGTCTGACCCCACCTATGGGAAACAGGCAAAGGTGTGGAGTGGTCCCCAGGGAGGGCAGGGAGAAGGACTCGGAGGGGGACCGGTTTCCTGTTAATGGCGACCGAATGATTTAGAAATGGGTGGCAGTGAGAGCCCCAAGATGAACATGTGATGAACATGTCCAGGCTCACGGAACTCCATGCGTGGAGAATGTTGACTCGGAGCTGTTACCCCGGAGGCGGGCCTCGAGGGAAGGGAAAGGGAACAAGCCCAGTGAGATGGGTTAGCGGCCCAGAGTGGGGGTATATCTTGCCGGGGGAGGGCCAGGCCTTGGGGGAAAGTAACGGGATCTGAATCCGGGAGGCTGAGGGTCAGGCTGGGGCTGGAGAAGGCTATGCAGTCCGTAGAAGGGGGGAGGGCTCACCCAATGCTCTGGATCATGAGGTTCTCCTCCAGGGGGCCCATCTGCACAATCAGCAGGGAGCGGATCTGGCTGAGACACTCCAGCAGGCTCATGGTGTCCTCCACTGAGGACGGCGAGATGGTGTACGCCCGAGGCAGGGCGCGCAGCAGCTCCCCGAGCCCATCGTACTGCCGGTGCAGGAGGCTGAACATGGCCCGAACCAGCTCTGGGCTCTGCACGAAGTCCTCCTGGGCCCAACGCACCACCGTGTGGGACACCAGCTCCTGCAGGGATTCTGGGGACGGAGCACAGAGCGTCAGAGGAGCACGTACCAGCCTGAGCTGGTAGAACAGCACAGACAGGCCCTCTTTTAAGAAGGCTTCTCTCAGGTCCCAGCTGTCCACACTTCCTCCTGCCTCACTCAACAAACAAATGACAACCACAAACCCAAACCAAAAACGCTGCCACTGAGTCACTTCTGGCCCACAGCGACCACTTCCAGCTGCCAGGAGGGGTGGATTCTGACAAACTCCCCCTATTCTCCAGTTTGGTTCTCTTTACCTGAATAACCAGCCCAATGGGTTCGGTCCAAAGCTCTGGAAGAAGACACCACCCACCAACTGCAGCATCCAAGCACATGATCCCACACACGTCCCCAGACAACTCGGAAAGCACAATGCCAACTGTTCTGTGAAATTCCCGCCAACATTTGCATCCGGAGAGCCAATCAACCCAAAATCATGCTGTGAAGGACTCGGTGTCCTTGAGAGCTGGTCCCCAAGCAACTCCATGGTGTTCTCTGGGAGCCTTCCCTTCTCTACCTCCACCACCCAGGAGTCTTTCCGTCTTTCTCCCCCATCTCCGGCCAGTGTTTCCAGAAGCGAGTCCGCCTGACATCGTGATGTATTTATAGTTGTCTTTGTTTGCTTGTTATGATATGCTAAACTTCTTGAGGGCTTTGGGTGTTCTCTCTACTGTATCCCCCAACATGCCTGGCGAAGAGTTGGCCCAACAAAAGTGTCTTTGATGTCGTGCACTAAATCCTGTGGCAACATTAGGGATTCCGCCCTTCCCTTGTTAGAGGCGGCAGTCTGCATCATGGCACAGCTGCCTAACATGTAGCAGAACTGTGTATTTTGTCCCCTCAGCACAATCCTCTTTTCCCTGACAGAGAAAGGACAAAAGAAAACAAAGGAGAGACGCAAGGCCCTGGAAGCATGGAACAGGAGTTGCCACCATGCGACGTGGATGGTCCAACACATGTATTCCGTACCCCCCATAGTTGAGCCATACCACTGCATCGCACCTCTATTTCCTCTGTTCTCTTCTCTTCCTCTCTTATCCCTGCCCATCCGCTCCTCCCTCGCATCCTCATTGTGGTCCCAGCACCCCCTGAGCACAGGGGCCCTAACCCTGGTCCCTCCCCGTGGCAGCAGCCCTCACGAGGTTTGTGCTCCTCTTCCAAGGACTCGTCCCCCGTCTTCTCCTCCTTCTTCTGCACCAGCCGCACTTTCTCCAACAGGCTCCGCAGTCGGCTGCCCAGCGTAGCCTCTTCCTCGGGCTCTTCCTCCTCCCCGTCCAGCTGGATCCCTGAATTCAGAAGGGAGGGAATGCCATCCACCTGTTTGCTTTGTCATCTGCTCATTCGCTTCATTCATTCTTTTCTCAGATGAATGAGCATCTATATTTTTTACTTATTTCTCTATATGTTACTAGGTTGTTGATTTATTCATTCTTGGATGAATTTGTCTTTTAAACCAGTTATTGTAAATATGGTCAAAGGATCAAAAGACATCATGTTTAAAGAAAACAAAATCCATACCTCCCCGCCCCCCCAAAAGAGGAAGAGTATTTGCATAGGGGCCATTGAGTTTATGTGAATGATGACGGAAGAATTTGGAAAAGGATATCAATACTAGTATAACACAAAGAGTATAATCAATGGCACTGAATGATACATGTAGAAGTTGCTGAGTTGGAGAATGCTTTGTTTATATTTTGGCCACAATTTAAAAAAAGTAATTACATGAATAACAATGAGTACGTGGAGAATGAAATGTTTTGAAGTAGATTGTGGTGAAGATTGTACAACTCTTGTCCATCTAATGGAACTATTGGGTTGTATGGTATGTAGATGAAGTGCCAATAAACCTTTCTGTTTTTTAAGAAAAGAAAATCCTTACAACTGGATCGATGAGCAACATCACGATAAAAGGAGAAAATGTTGAAGTTGTCAAGGACTTAATTTTCCTTGGATCCACAGTCGATGTCCACGGAAGCAGCGGTCAAGAAATCAAATGACCGCCTGGCTACCACTACCACTGCCTGAGAAGATCCTGGGGAAAGGGGGAGGAAGATGTGGAACTGAACTCAAAATCACCAACGAGACCAGGCTGACTGGGTGGGAAAAGATGTGTGGGATCTCGCCAGACGATGGCTTTAGTTACCCTTCTGGCTAGACGTGAACTCACTCTCCAGTGAGACGAATCAACCTTTTACGATGAAAAATGCAGCCTTTACTCAAGGACAACTTTCCAAGGAATGGAGGAATGGGACCGGGAAACACCAGGAGAAGGTGAGAAATGGGGAATGGCATGTTGGGGGGACTGGGATGGATGAGTTGGAACAAATTGTGGATGGACGGTGGAGTGTACAAATGAATGATGGTCTCTGTAAACCTTGACCTGATATTAGCACAATAAAAATAAAAGGTGTGTGTGGTTTTATTTCTAAGATAAAAGGGCAGCATTTACAAAATAAACAAATAGAGCAAGCGATGGATTATTACATTGGGCAAATCTCTTGCAAAAGATATCTTTAAAGTGTGACAGAAGCGAAGATGTTACTTAGAGGGCAAAGCTGCCATGTCACAGTATTTCCCATTGCTTCCTATATGTGTGAAACCTGGACAATGAATCAATAAGGAAGACCAAAGAATCGGTGCATCCGAATTATGGTGTTGGCAATAATACCGACTGTATCCGGGACCACCAGAAGAATAGACAAAAGATGAGGCTGTCTACTCCAACAAAAAGGTACAGTCTTGGGAAGCCACAAGGGCAGCTCTACTCTGTCCGAGATGGTTGCTCTGAGCTGGAGGCGACTTGCTGGCGGTGCGAGTGAGCCAGGAGAATGAACAACCTGTCTTGGAAGATGTAAAGCTCAGATGCTCCCGAGAGGCAAGGCAAGAAGAAGAAGGAGGAGGAGGAGAAGGAAGACTTCATCTCCTATGCTTTGGACAGGTCATCAGTAGAAGCCAGTCCTTGGAGAAGGACATCATGCTTGGTGAGATTGTTTATTGTGCCAGCCTGGCCAATAAACACAAGTGGGATTAACTGAAGGGCGGAGAGATAAATGGCTCAGTGAGCCTCACCTTTCTTGTCTCTCACTCTTTGATCATCGGACCAATGTGCGGCTGCCTTGCTTGTTCTGTGCCTCAATTCACAGGTTACACTACCTGTGGGACGCCTCACCTGTGGACTGTGTTGCTGTAAGTTGAGGTCCCTTTAAGACATCTCTGGAGCTGGGGACTGGCGGTTGGTGACCTG